AAAAATAATCCGTGGAATAATGTAGCTAAATCATCAAAATACCGAATATAGGGAGGTACCGTTATATCGGGGCTATATGAAGACCTGGATCAGCATAGACAACTTTCTGTCATAGGCTGTAGCATCCATTACGAACTTAAAATGCGAAATGTCAAATTTCGGTGAATATCGTACCTAAAATCGTCAAAATACTAAATATAAGGAGGTACTGATATATGGGTCCTATACGAAGACTTAGACTTAAATAGACCATTTTCTGTCATAGACTGTAGTATCCATTACGAGCTTTAAATGTCAAATTTGAAACAATTCCGATTATTCATCGCTAAGATCATCAAAATACCGAATATCGGGAGGTACCATTATATGGGGCTTTACGAAAACGGGCAAGGACATTTTTCTGTCTTACGAACTTCAAATACCAAATTTGAAACATTTCCAGTAAATAATGTCGCTTAAATCACCAAAATACCGAAAATATGGAGATGGCATTATATGGGGGCTATGCCAAAACGTGGACCTACATGGCCCATTTTCAATACCAAAAGTCCTGCAGACATGATATACATTTGAATAAAATTGTATCAACCTACTTCATTTTGTTCGGAAGCTAGGGTGATTTCCACAGAAGGACAAACGGCCGGACATTGGTAAATCGACTAAGAATTTGATGCTGATCAAAAATATATAGACTTTGTGGGGTCTAAAATGTATATTTCGAGGTTTTACAAACGGAGTGACAAACTTAATATACCCTCCCTACTATGGTGGAAGGCATAAAAACATGTGTTAACAATAAGAATATCCGCTAATCGTAAAATTCACGGTAATACCAAAAAAACAATACTTTTGTTAGGATCTTGCAAAACGTAAAAAATGTCACTAAATTCCGATTATTATGTGTTACATATATATGGGATAATACGAAAATTATCTAAATAAGAAGGCTGTGCCTATTACAAATTCCAAGTATCAAGTTGTAGATAATTACCAAAAATTATCAAAATACCGAATATTGGGAGATACCAATATACTGGGGATATACGAAAACGTGGATCTGTATAGACAATTTGGATGTGGCACAATTCATAAAAAGTTCCAAATGGCCACTATACAATAAATTTGGACCTATATAGACATTTCTATGGAAGGATGTTGCCTACATACTGGGAACACAAACTGCCAATTTAAAGCAAATTTATGACTAAAACAACCAAAACACCTTAAATCTGACAGCACAGTTATATGGGGTCTCTTCCAAAACGTGGACGTATTTTCAATTGTATTTTATTACTTTAGGGAGGATTTCATAGCATTTTATTACTTTATTAAATTTGAGAACCATTATTTATTTAATATAAGAACCAGTGAGAATTGACGAATCTTTTGTTAGCTGTTCCAATTTTTCTCCACCAGTCAATGTATATTGTTTTATAAAGAAAAAAACAACAACAGTGGGATTAGGCCTGAATATTTTTAAATAGCAAATTGTATTTATTTCAAAGATGTTTGCCCAATGTCTGGGAGAATAATAAATAAATATTTCTTTTTCTTTGTGTATTTGACTTTACATGATGATTTTACAATTTCATTTTATACATTTTACTAACTGATTCCAATATTTACCAAAATTGTTCTTCTATGTACACAATTCAAAGTCCAATAAAATTATTGTTAAATAAATATATTTACCTTCAAATGAAAAGGGCTATTAAAATTTTGAAACGAAAAATAAACTTTAGCTAAAGTGTTGTCGTTAAGATCAAACACCATACACACAAAGTTCTCAAATAATAGTCGTGAATTAAAAATACAATTGTTTGTTATGTATATGGGTGTGTGTGTGTGTATGCGTTTTTGATGTGTAAAACAAAATTCGTGTTAACACCTTTTGCGAACAGTAGTAGTCAAGCTGTTTCAATTGAAATGTCAACAGATGTCAACGGGTCACAAGGAATATTTGACTGACATCTCACATCCGGAATTTTATTTTTTTTCTCTGTGGCGAGATTAGCAATTCATGAAAGGGAAGGTTGATAGGATCTGTCGATTTGTCGAAAGTTATATATCCTCAGTATACGACCGTCAAGGCTTTAAAGTCTATTCTCCATCAAACAAAATTCCTCCTCAATTTCAGATTTCGAAAAAGCTTTCGTCGGAAAGAAAAGTGAGTTTGGAGGCAAAGACGTAGATGGATATAACATCGGGAACAAACATCGCAGTCGCTGCGAAAAAAAGGGTTGCAACTTACTATTTTTAAAAATTTTGCCATTTAGGATATAGAGAGATCTTAATACAAAAAAAAAAAAAACATAAGATATGTCTTTAACCCAGCATATTTTTAAGTTCAACAAATATACGTATGACGTTCAAAAACATAAATGCTTTGTTTTTCTAATGTTTGATAGACATTTTTTTTTTCAAATTATTGTGCAGGACTCACGATCTATTTTCGGCGAAAGCTTGTGGTGGGATTGGGGATAATAAGAAAATTTACCAGTTATGAATGTTCAAAATTGTGTATGTCCATGGGGGAAGTTCTAGAAAGAGTGCACCGATATTTTTCATTTCAATAATCATACCTCACCTTAGTTATATATATAAATATTTCGACGGGCAAAGTTTGAACTTAGTCCCGGATTCCGTTTGCTATACATTGACTGTTTATTATTGTTGAAAAATTTGAACTTTTATGGAAGTTGTAAAAAAAGGAATTTAATCTTTGCGCCGGGTCTTAGATTGGCAGGCATATTGCCATTATCCGGGTGCACAAGTGACAAAGAGATATCACACACACTCACAAGATGAAATAGATTACAAAGGTATATTCATATATCCTCCACCATACATAGTATGGAGGGTATATTAAGAGAGGTCAAGTTCGAAGATGGGCTATATCAGCCCAAGATATCGTATAGCCCCCATGTAACGGTACTCCCAAATATTCAGTATATTGATGATAATAGGCAAAGGTTTCAATAAAATTGTAACGGTACCTCCCAATATTCGATATTTTGATGATTTTAGCTACATTTTTCAATGGAATAGTCTAATAATCCATACTAGATGTTCTTTGTAAGCACTTCACCCCCTGCAAGACAAATTTCCATATAGGTCAACAATATCGTATAGCCCACATACAACAGTACAATTTTAGTTTTAGGGACAATTTTTCACCGGAGTTGTTTCAAATTTCGTATTTAGAATTCGTAATGGGTACTACAGCCTATGACAAAAATTGCGCATACAGGGTGACATAAAAAACTGCAACAAAGTCAAACATCATAATTTTTACATTTTTTTAATGTTATTGAAATAAAGCAAAAATGTCGGAAATAGCATCAAATTTTAGAATAAATTTAGATATGTTCGAATTGGTCACCTTGGGCACGAATTATGGCCTTCAAATGGCAAATGAAACCATAATACTCTGCCCAAATGTTGCTCTGTGGTATTTTGGCCCATTCCAGGCGAAGAACTTGCTTGAGGTGATCGACACCTATTTTTAGTGCCTTTCCAAAATACTCTAGACACAATAGTCCAACGGATTGGTATCCGATGATTTTGGTGGCCACTGTGCCCTGGAAATGAAGCGAGCAACCTCATTTTGTAACCATTCTTGGATGGCGCTGAGTCCTGTTGGAATGTCCAAGGTCTGCGGCCAAAATGTTTGCGTGCCAAGGCTTTAATACACCCTCCAGAATAGTTTCGCGATAATATTCGGGTTTATTCTGATGCTACGGTCGATTAATACGAGCGGAGAGCGACAATCGGCTTTTATGGCGGCCCACACCATCACCATGTTCAGCTCACGAGCCATTTTTCGGCCACTGCGACGCGTATTTCGATCAAGTTGCTTTTTTACTTTTCGAACCATTTCTGCTATTGTTGCTGTTTTCTTCCGTCCACTTCCTTGACGTCGGGCTTCGCTACCCGTATCACGGTAACGAGCGATGGTATGAGACACAAAAGATTTATTCACATTTAAATGCTGGAGTGCTCTAACGATAGCCACTTGTGGTTTTCCAGCCAAATATAAGCAAATCACAATATCACGCTTGAACTCCATCACGAATAACTTTTCTGGAAAATTCTCACCAAAATGCTTTTGTACGCTTGTAAACAATATAATGAGATATCACTGGAATAATTTTAAGAGCTGTCGGACGAGTGGCTTAGAAATGACAGCAGTCTGAAGTTGGTCGCAGTTTTTTCATCTCAGCCTGTACAGGGCCACGTCTTCATATAGCCTCCATATAACTGTAGCTCCCAATATTCGGTATTTTGATGATTTTAGCGACATTATTCACCGGAGTTGTTTCAATTTTCGTTTTAAGAGTTCGTAATAACTTCTACAACCTGTGACAGAAAATTGGCAATGCAGTTTGAGGTCTTCGTATAGTTTCATATATGTAACCGTGCATCCTTATTTACGGTATTTGATGATTTCAGCTACATTATTTTCCGGATTATTATTTCAAGTTTCGTGTCTGAATATTATAATGGCTTATAGCAAAAGTTGCCTATGCAGGTCCACGTCTTCATATAGACCTCAATATAACGGCTATGTTCGGTATTTTTAAGATTTTGAAAACATTTTTAACGAGTTTTATTACTATATTTTTTTTTAATTTCCAAATTTGTTCCAAATGGTGGATTATATTTTCGGCTCGGCCCGGTCAAATGTGCACACACTTTCACTAAGAACATTAATTCCACACAATTTGACAAAAATATTTATGTCAGCAATGAAATCATTGTCAAATAGTATTGTTGTTACATTTCAATGTCCCAAATCAAAAAATAAATTAGTTCTCAAACTTGTCTAAATATCAATCAAACAACAAACAAGGATTGTGCAATCAAAAGCAATAATTACTCAATTAAAAAAAAAAATAATAATAACTCACTTTATTGACCGCCAAATGAATGTACATATGTATGTGTATATGTGTGTGAACATCATCAGAAATAATTGTATTGTCTCTCTTTCTTTACAGATTTAAATAATGGGTTTAAAGAAATACTACCTACGTTATGGCCGTTCAGCTAGAGATCGCATATTTGGCTGTCTGGGCATACCGCCGCCTCTGGCAAATGGGCAAAATCGTGGTGTCATCACAGAATCCCTATATCCAGCCGAAATACAACCCAGCATTAATGCGAGTCAACGCAGATCTGGCGAAAGAGAACACAGTCGTAGACGCAGTTCAACGCAGCCATTTGAGAGGAGTCGTCCCACACCCTGGTCGATGCTAATTTCCAGGGGCATTAAACTTAGTAATAGTAAGTAAAATATACATATTTTCCACACAAGAATTTTTATCTCAGGTTTAATCGGGATATTAATTTAAATATTAGTAATTTGTGTAGGGAATCCAAGGAGTATAGGTATAAATAGGTCAATAGAATAACAACAGAGAGCTCTTCTTTGATTCAATATTTAAAAAAATTGTGGGTTTAGTTTATAGTTTAGGTGGGATTAGGATTATACAAAAATTTAAGGTTTAAGAATGAAGAAAAAAACTGTAGACGGAACAAAAATTAACTTGTTCTCATGCAATATCACGATTTGTAATATTTCGACAAATTTGTACTCTCCGCTCGGTTGGTATCGAGTTTAAGTTTATATTGTTGGGTTTTGTGGGGGAAAGTTATACAAAGCTTAGACTGATAAATATATAAAACAAGTTAAATAGTATCAGGCGGTTTAGCCGACGGATTATGAATTTAGTATTATTCGAACTGTTGACCGTTGATGGGGGAGGTTCCGAAGCAGTATTGTCAATTCGTACCTGACCCTATTGTCCAATTCGTACCTGACCTAATTACAATAGGTGCCAGATTTGGTTTATATCGCCTACTTACTATACCTCATATGAAATATGTGCAAAGTTTCGGAAAATGTGGAAATATGCGTGAGGCATCAGATATAGCGAACCGAAATATTCCACTTCATCTAATACAGATCAAAATATTAGTATGGGCATAATTACAAGAAAATCTAACATTTATATCCAATTTTACGCGAATTCATAAATTCCACATTCATCTCAGGTTTCTGGTTGAGGGAAATATTTAGATGCAACCAGTTGTAAATAGTCGCTGACTTGACTATAACAACTAAAAGTATTGAAAATTGTTACTTTTTGTGGGTGAGGTATCAGAAGGGGTTGCCTTAGCAAAAATGTTTGCATGTGTGAAATTTAAAGAGAGTTGGATGCCTATTTCGTTTTTTGCCGTTTTTTTCAAAATCTTGAACCCTAATTGGGAAAGGTTCCAGAAGAAATGGTCGGATCTCTACTATCTTTATAACAGATCTAGTGCTGATGGAAATATTGAGATGCACCAATTCTGATTGGAATCGCATGTTAATTTCGCGTTTTATAATCTTCATGGATATTTAAAATTTCGACCTTTTGTACTTCCCCTACAAAAGGTCGAAATTTTGAATATCCATGAAGCCCAGAAGGAGTGAACCGATATATCCCATCTTCACAGGATAAAAGATTAGAAGAATTAGTTTATTTCTCATTTTATGACTTTCATGGATATTCAAAATGTTGACCCTTTGTGGGGAAGGTACCAGAAGAAATGTTCCGATCTCTACCGTTTTTATAACAGATCCTGTGTTGATAGAAATATTCAGACGTGCCAAATCTAAATGAAATCGGATATTTATTTCGCGTTTTATTAGCTCAATGGGTATTCAAAATTTCGGCCTTTTGTGGGGGTGGTACCAGAAGCAGTGGACCGATATGTTCCATCTTAACACCAGACCTTGCGCTAATAAAATTATTGGGATGTGTGAAATTTGAAGGCAATCAGACTCTTACATAACATTTTATAAGAGTTGTAATTATTCAAAATGTTGAACCTTTGTGGGGGAGCTTCTTGTTGGAGTAGACCGATATTGTCCATTTTCGCACCTGACCTAGAACTGACGCAAATATTAGGATTTGCAAAGTTGGAACAAAATCGGATTATCCTTTCTCTTTCTGTGCAGAAAATATATTTTTTAAAAATTTCGATCTTTTGTGGGGGAGGTACCACATATTAAGTTTGACAAAATTATACGATGTACCAAGTTTGAACGAAATCGGATACTCTCTTCTAGAGTTATCGTACACACCAGCCAGCCAGAAAGACAGACAGTCGGACGGACATCGCTAGATCGACTAAAATTTCCTGAAACGCATTTGGTCCAAAGAGACCTAGAGACCTTTTTGATGAGGCACCTTTTGGCCGTATCAAATGATATATGCCCTCTCTAGCCATATAGCTGAGGGTATAAAAAGTCGTGGGTTAAATTTGGAGTCTAGATGAGATGAGGATAACCCAACACTTGAAAGAAAGTTGTAGGGATGAACGTAACATGGAACATGTTCGACAGCTCGGCTGATTAATAACATTTACCAAGATTGTCGGCGACGGTATACGCGTATTCGACAAATCGAGAATGATTTTTTTAATCGTGGCCATGATTAAAAATCGACTTATTTAGCCCACCTTTGAAAATAACTTGATTGAGGGGGTTAAAGACTGCCAACAAAAACTATTGCCCAAATCCTCCTCCTTTAATTTTAAGAGTTATGATCTCCTGAACTTTTGATCCATTGAGGATAACAATTGACATGAACTGACATTTTCTGTCCAGTATTTTTTTAACATAATAATGTAGCGAAATACAAATAAATATATATATATATATATATATATATATATATATATATATATATATATATATATATATATATATATATATATATATATATGTATATATATATATATGTATATATATATATATATATATATATATATATATATATATATATATATATATATATATATATATATAAGGATCCACCAACAAGGGCAACTTAAGTCGTTATTTATCCAAAATACAAAATTTTAGCCCATTTAGTTGGAAAATTTATCTAAGGACTTTTTGAAAATTAATTCCCATCAAAAATTATTTGCAGAAGAATATATGAAGCAGGACCCTATTCTCTATACATTGTACTTAGATTTCAGCACCGACGATAATAAAATTACATAATCTTAATATTATGGGTAGATAAAAAGTAAAGGATACAGCCGATTGCCAAGAACATTGTTGCTTTTGTATATTGACATTACAACAATTCATACAGCCAAGATACCTTGTAGTCGCATATGAGTATCACTGTCACTTTTGTTAGTTCGAGCCTGTCCATGATTTCATTTCATGCGTTTCGAGACAACGATAATGAGCAGAATGAGCTAATTGACAGAATTTAGCTTGAGCAGAAATAAATAAACAAATGTAAAAAAAAGCAAAAGTGATTTTTGACCAAATATTTTCGACCAATTTACGCAGAACCCTGTATTATTTGGTCGAAAATATTTGTTTTACAGCAAATAACTTTTTTTCGAAACTCTTTCGAATCTCAAATCACCACCTATCTCCTATATTGCACTAACGCCAAATAATTTGTGTTTTGAATGTCCTGGCCGCATTTTCCAATGAAATTGTGCTTTTACTTGGTATATCGGCTTCGTAACTTGTAGATACACAAAGCAGGATATATTGTTTTCGCTTATTCTTCACATTCAATGTATGTGTTCATATATTTCAGCTGCGATTAACTTTATCATTTTTCAAAGAAAATTTTCCAAAATATAACCTAAAATGGCAACTCTGGCACAAAGCTGCCTTCATGGAGGCCGATAAAATCACTTTTGTCTCGGCCACTTGAATTTGCAAAAAATGTTGCAAAAACGAACTCCAGCCGTTTGCCGACGAATGACAACAGTGGGGGTATTGCTTGCCAGTCAATGAGCGAACGCAAACTTCTTTTAGTATTTGTATTAAAATTTAATCACATGCATTTGATACGGCTTTGGTGTGAGCGGCTGGAGTTCTTGTTGTTGTTGTTGTTATGACTAAAATCAAATACAAGTTAAACAGCATTTTCATGAAAATCTCAGAAAATATAATGAGCCAATTTTTTTTTAGTTAAAAACACGTTTTTCTTTTAGACTTCTTGATGGGTAGCTTGAAATGGAAACGTGTTTGGGTTTCTTTATAGATATTTTTTTTGGCCAACATTCTTTTTTGTTCATACCCCGCCAGACATGGATAAAAGTCAAAATCAAATCAATTACAAGAAACCACACGTCTAATGAATGTTGGAAGAAACCGCGACTATCCAAATACTCGGCTGAGGCACTACCAATGTTGACGGATATGGACGATGGCTCGGAACTGAGTTCGAGTCAATTGGTTTGAGGGTGAGGGCAATGGTGGGCAATTGATCTTCTGCACCTTCACCCCCCTCGCCCCCCTGACATGTGCGTTCAGTGATATTCGGTTGGCTGGTTGGTTGAACTTAAACTTCTTGTTTGGGTTTTTCTTTCGTTTCTGGTTGGGTAATGACCAGTTGTGGTTGTTTTTCCATCAATTGGCCAATATCAAGCGATGCCAAACGAATTGAACGGCCAGTCGAAAGAACAACATTTTAAATTTTACTTGTTTTTTGGAATAGATATTACGAAATTTTTTTGGTTTTATACGCTGTTTTAAATTTAGTCGAGAGAAAAACACAGAATTGTGTAAATTGATATTGACTTTATGGCTGTTGATTCGTGTGTGCATTTTTGTGGTAGCTTCTGTGGCAATAACACGAATTTTTTGACGGTATGTGGCAACAATGATTGCAGCAGGAAAACATTAATGCTATAAAGCCTGATAAATGGCATTTATTTATATTCGCTGTTGTTGTGGTTTTGTGGCCAGTTTTTAGAATGGCATGCAGAAGTATTTGAAAAATCTCTAGGAAGTAGAACAATTGATTATTGTTATACCCTACAACACTATGTGTTGGGGGTATTATAAGTTTGATTGGGCCAAAAATTATGTAACACCTCGAAATATTGGTTTCCCACATAGGAAAGTATATATGGATCTTCCTAGCTCGCCGAGCTGAGTCGATCTAGCTATGTATGTCCGTCCGTCCGCCTGTCCGTCTGTCCATGTTAATTTGTAATCACTCTACAGGTCGTAATTATGGCCCGATCTTCACGAAATTTAGAATGTAGGTGGGGCTTGGACCAGAATAGAACCCTATTTCTTTTGGAGATGATCGCCAAATGTTTAGGGGTTGAAATGGACCAAATATTGGAAAAATTTCGGATTTTGCAGTAGCTATACAGGTCGCAATTATAGACCAATCGACGCGAAATTTCCCGTGTAGATAGAGTTTAGGGCGGGGAAGAAGCCTACTAATTTGGGTGGTCATCGGATA